AATATTCCTTAAGCATTCGCTATGTGACTGTCACTAAGCTAACTGCTGGGAATGCAGTGGTTGTTAAAGAGAGAAACATGGCCGCAGTCCTCACAGAGCAGCAAGTGCAGTGGTAGAGGCCAACATAATGCATTCGGCCAACCCTGGTGGAGTAACAATTCTCTTGCACAGCTGATAGGAGATTAATCTGGGACAGCCACTCTGGAAAGAAATCAGATAATATATAGTAAAATTAAGTGTCTGACTTTTACCTAATAATTCTCTTTTCCCCTTGCACAGGGGTCTCGGGGAGGAGATGAGCCAGTCAGGGTGCGATGTAACAATGATGAAAAATACAACTTTCCTCTAGTTCCTAAATGTTTCCTCCCAGCTCCCACTACCATGACTCAATTTCGACCTTGCAAGTCTGGCTAGACCAGAGGAGGTACACTGGTACAGATAGGAACTGAATATACAGGGAATCCAGGGCAGACAAGCCCTACAGGACCAGTGATGTGAGTGACGAAACAGGGAGGGTAGAGGGAGAATGGGTAGGAAAGAGGGAACCTGTTACAAGGAACTATATGTGATCTCCTCCCTGGGGGACGGACAGCAGAAAAGTGGGTGAAGGGAGACGTCGGACAGGGCAAGATATGACAAAATAGCAATTTATAAACTATCAAGGGCTTATGGGGGAGGGGGGAGCGGGGAGGGCGGGGGAAATGAGGACCTAATGCCGGGGATTTAAGTGGAGAGAAAATGTTTTGAGAATGATGAGGGCAATGAATGTACACATGCGCTTTACACAGTTGATATGTGTATGGATTGTGATGGGAGTTGTATGAGCCCCTAATGGAATGATTAAAAAGAAAAGAAAAAAAAGAACCAAATAGGCAGAGAGAATTATTGAGCCATAAGGCACCATTTTCACATGCTATACATAAACATGTATCTTGCCACTGTAGATAAAAACCAAAGCTTTAAAGGAGTTGCTATTATGGGCCAGTCCCTTAAGTGGAGGGTGGGTTTTGCAAAATGAAACTTAAAAATTGGCAGGTGATGATGAGTTTGTGCTGCCAATAACGTCTAGTGAGTTTGCTTTCTCGTTCAGAATCGAGCCAGGCAAATAGGAAAGGCAAAGACTACATATTTAAAGGTTCTGTTTTCTCATATTTACTATGAGAAAATATTCTCAAACAGAAAGGGGGCCACCTGGGGAAATCCAAGTGGATTTTAAAAATGCAAAGTGACAAGTATTTACAGTAAATAAACCTCTTTCTCCTACTCTGCCTTTGCACCCCCTTTTATTTGAAGTCTTTTTTTTCTTTACATCATTTTGTTGGGGGCTCGTACAACTCTTATCACAATCCATCCAACCATCCATTGTGTCAAGCACATGTATACATTGAGCAGTCTTTTATTGTATGATGATTTCAAGTGCTCAACTTGATAACACTATTAAGTTTATCCTTAGGAACTAACGATATAATTGTATTACTATTATAGGTTTCACACTAAAAGTAAAACTCATTAAAAAAACAGATATGGCCTTTAGCACAAAAAAAAAAAAAAGAAAAAAGAAAAAAAATTCTCTTTCTGGTATACATCCCTAAGAAATTATCCTTAAGAGAACAATGGCAAGGCTGTCCGTTGCAGTCCTGCTTGCTGAAGTCAGTCGTTACAAGAGGAAGAAACAAGAAACAAATGTGGTAGATGGTATGAAATACTATGCAGAATAGAGAAAATGAACTAGCTCCGCATAAGCATGGGTACATCTTTGCAACAGCACCGGTTGAACCAGAATCCAAGTAGATTTTGTTCTGCTGTATCGGTATGTAAGCTAGAAAACAGACACAGAACCACACTGCCTTTCCCCCAAAAAGCTTATGCACTCCAGGTTTATTTAAAAGCAATAGATTTGTGCCTTTGGTTGGAGTGGGAATTGGGGGCTAAGAATCAAGTAAAATAAGAAAAGAGATGAAACAACCATATTTGCTTAAATCTGCCCCTGAATTTGCTGCCTGTGAGCCAAATGCAAATATAACGGCAATGGTGAAATAAGGGGGGTAAATTGTTTGAGCTAGAATGAAGAACGTTTTACAGTTCCATCCTGGGTGCCTTTTAGGAAAAGTCTGTCCATTAATTAAACATCCAAAAATCATGGAAAATGACTAGGTAACACTTTTAGATAGACCCACTAGCATTCTAGTTAGAACTTTACTTCAGAATAATTCCTAACTTGTCATTGGTCTTAATACCTAATTATTGTCAGGCATAAATAATAAGAGACTGTTAATGACAATAGTGGCACATGATTGTCTATTCCGCTGCCAACATAAACCTCAAATTGTGCTACATTTGTGATTGTATGATCTTTCAAATTCAAATTTGGGACAGTGATTTTTAAAATAATCTCATAAAACCATTAACAGAAAGTGTTCATTTGCATGAAGATCAAATGTCTACAGGCAAGCATATAAAGATCAAATTAACATTGGAAACTGCCAGACCTTTGATTCTCTGAAATTATAGGTATTATACAGCTGAATAAAGATGAGATGTTTCCACTGTTCTATATGAACAAGGACAGAGCCTTTTAAAGTAATACCTTTCACAACCAATTCAAAAGGTTTTACTGTAATTGACAAATTGTTATGCAATTCAAGATTTGTTATTTGAATCTGCAAAGTCACACCTATTCTGTTAAAATAAACAGTTGTTTTATTCAGCCAGTGATGCAGTAAGTTTGCTATAGTCGGTAGTCATGTGTCTTCTCAAATATTTTCATACTCCAGATAGCTTTACCCATAAATAATTGATTGTAATGCCTATGTTTGGCCTTTGTCTAGGAATATAAACAGAGATAAATGGAAATGAGGTCTTATTTCAGTGTAAATGTTTATTCAATTTGCTTAGTCTCTTGTGGTTTCCATTTCCATTATTTCTTTTATAGACACATAACACCAGATCATAAAGCAACTTTAAAGTGAGAAAAGATTAACAAAAATGGTCTGTTTGCAGTCCTTCTTAGGACTTTTACTATAAACATCTTTGACTCTAAATATCATATAGAAGGTGTTAACATCAAGTAATTCTTCCTTTAAGAATTACTCTGGACAAAGGCTTCAGTTTGGCAAGTCACCAGTGGTTATTAGACTACAGCTATCCAGGAACTGACTCAATGGCTGGTCAAATCCATGAGCTTTACCAAAAAGAAAAAAATTTAACACTTTAAAAATTATATGTTCATATAATATAAAGAAACTGCATGCTAGCTTTTCCCCAGTGTCTCTTACTGGATAAGGAAGATACAACTGATTTATAGCAATATATTTTGATAATCTCTAATCTCTTGCTAATTAATCAAATAATTAGCATCTACTATTGACAGAGGAAAACTGAAACGGCTGAGAAAAAGGTAGAGTTTAACCTTTCAATGTTTAATGTTAATGTTATTGATAACACAATCAATTGAAGCACTGCAAACAGATTGATATGTTAAAGGTTGTTACCCACTGCTTCCAATCCATTCTGAGTCTTTGGCCCCATAGGACCAGGCTAGTTGCTCCTTAGGGTTTCTGAGGGTGTGAATCTTCTCAAGAAGTAGCTGGTGGCTTAGCAGCCCAATACTTAATACAGTGTGCTGTCAGGGCTCTTTGCAAATCATTGTTAGATAAATGAAAATATTTTAAAAATCTGCACTCCAGTATTTCTTAAGAAAGCCGTTTAGGACTATTAAAGGAAATGGCCATCTGGCGACAGCAAAGAGCGCTGCAGACTCCATGTTACATGAACTGCACGTCATTGAGCAGTCCTGGAACAGAAGCATGAGCCAAAACCAAATTTAAAATTTTCTAGTTTTTAAAAAGTCAAATGAAATGGGGAATTATTGTACTACTACATGTTTAGTTAACCCAAAGTATAAAGGATGTTCTCATGCCACCATGTAACCAAGATAAAAACGATTAGCACGCTGTCTTAAAGGTTTTTTCCCCTCCTTCCATACCGTCTTTGAAATACAACATGGAATTGACACCGTATCTCCACAGATTCAATCGCCAGACATGGCCAGTGGCTGCCGTATTGGGCGGCGCGCACCCAGGCAATCCAATAGAAGCTGCGGTTACTTTGGGCTGCCTTGTAACTAAGTTAATTGATCTCTCTACCCCTCTGCCCACTTTCCCCAAGTTTCTCCTTTTCTCTCCTTTAAATTTTACTATTTCGTAAGTAAACGTCACTTCCTCACTATTTTGGAACCCTGAAACAACGCTCCAAAGCTTGCCTGAGAACTGTTATGAGGAGGCCCTGGTGGCCAACAGTAATAGTCCGTCTCTGTCTCTCTCTCTCTCCTCTCTCTAGTCCGTCTCTTCTCTGGAGGGCACCTAGCTGGCCTGTTTTCTCTCTCTCTCTCTCTATCTCTGCCTCTTCTCTCTCCTCTCCCTCTCCCCCCCACCCCACCCCCCGACTGGGGGAGAGCGGGGTCAACGGGCCACGATTCTTTGGGGGCTCAAATCTGGCGATGCTCCGGACCACCAGGCGCCGAGGCTCAACGCTTTTCCACGCCGGTGGGCCAGGAAGGAGCGGAGACAACGAAAGCACGGGGTCACCGTCCCCAGGCCCTTAGCTCACGGCCGCCCGGCCGCCCGCAGATCCTAGCGAGAGAGAGCGACCCACAAAAGAAGCACCCGCGGGGCCACCGAGTCGATCCCGACTCACAGAGACCCCGGTGAGGGCGGGAAAAGGATGCGCAGCTTTCCAGGCGTCCACCGGGAGCGACAAGTTCCTAACCATTTCCCGGGATCACCGCAAGGGTCTTCCGGGTGGACCCCTGACAGTGCTGATTGGCTGGAGCTGCTGCCACGTGACCCAACTCGCCCCGCCGCCGTTTCCCCGCCCCTCTACCCCCACCCCACTCCAGTCTCGGGGGCGGAAGCGGTTTCCTAGGCAACGGCGGAGGGCAGGGTGTACACACCGGGCCCCGGGGCTGCAGAAGGTTGCAGGGTCTGGTGCTGCAAAGCCGGTATTGGAAGTTCTGAGTGGGATTTGACGGGTTTCGAATTGCCCCGGAATCCCTCCTTTCTCTGGAATACGGTGAGTATCTGTCACCAGTAGGCCAACCCTAGCCCCTAGGGTTTAATACTGTTCTTCATGTTGGGGTGACCCACCCACCCCACCATAAAATTATCTTCGTTGCTACTTCATAACTGTGATTTTGCTGCGGTTATGAATCGGGCGACCCCTGTGAAAGGGTCGTTCGACCCCCCAAGGGTCACGACCCACAGGTTGAGAACGGCTGCCCTGGGGGGGGGGTGTCTTTGTGCCCTCCTTCCTCCCTGTGCAGTTGGGGAGGAGGAGGTGAAGCCCCATTGAGGCCGAGAGATCCCTGAAATGGTGCGTTGGAAATGAATAATAATCATCACGAGAGGCAGTGGTGTGAGGCCCTCAGGGTGCCTAGAGCAACGCTTACGAGGTGGAGGAAAGGGCCTGAGACTTGCAAGCGTCGGTGCCATCTTTATGGGACAGGTTATGATCCTCAGCTCAAGCACCCGGATGCTCGAGAATCTAGCCCAGCACTGCTCACCTGGAGCGGGAAGGACGTGTATTTAGACCATCAGTGCTTATGAACTTCCAGTGTGTGGAAAGGACCTTTGATTTTCCTTGTAAATAACACACGATTTTATTTATGTACTTTTCAGTAAATTTAAATCCTTGAGGGGTACAGGGTCACACGGATTCTGTGTCCAATAGCCTTAGCAGGCAGGTTGCTCTGGAATTTGGCCCGAACCATGCCACAGATCCCATGGGCACGAACTACCGTTCCCCAGACAGCTCTGGTTTCGTTTGGTTTGGCGCCTGGAATCACTGTTGTTCTTTGCTTTGCACAGCACATCTCTTACCTAAATAGCATTCCGTTTAACCTCTGGGGGAAACACCGTCCACTTTAAAAAGAGCCCGTTTATAGCCAGAAAAAATGGCCTGGGACCCCAGCCTCCCAGACATACCTGCTGTTTAGAAGCCCTCTTCCCAGCAGGCCTCTGCAGGCTCCAATATGGCAACAAAAGGAAATTTCTCAGCCTGACTCTCACCCAACCTTTGTGGTAGAAGCAATCATGATTATGCTTTGATTGATTGTATACAACAACTCTCTTGTTGATGTGTCATATAGGAACCTATGACATGACAATTCCAATAAAACTGTTGTTGAACACTTAGCATGTGCCAGACACCGGGATAGGCTCATAACCCCTCCCTCCATGAGCAGGTAGCCTAGTGTGGCACAAAGACCTGCAAACATCACAATACAGGGTGACTGGTGCTAACTCTAACTGAAGTCACAGGAAGAGATTGAATACTCTGTTACCAAAGATAGGAAAAGTCTTCACAGGGAAGAACCTTGAAAGAAATCCTTAGAGATGTGTGTTGTATGCCATAAAGTTGGTGGGGGGAGACACTTCAGGGAGGGAAAACAACATCTGTCAAAGTACAGAAGTATTCCAGCCCATTCAGAGATTTGATTGTGGCCCCGCAAAGCCCAGGCTGTTCTGAGAAGGTGAAGGGATTTTCCCTGAGCTTGAGAGGTGTGCAGGAGTCAGAGCATGGCGTTTCTGAGCAGTTTCCAAGGGAAGTCGTAGTGTGAGTAGATTGTATCTTCCAGGAGGCTGCCTGTCAGCAGTGCAATAGTACATGGAACACACTGGCGGAAGGTGAGATTATAGACAGAGCATCCAGTGAAGGTGACATGGGAGTGTCTGAGCCAAGGCAGAGGTCATTGGGATAGAGAAGAAGAACACATTTGCTCACTATTTAAGAGAGGTAAATAGATACTTAGGGACTTAAAGTGTGAATGTGAAGAAAACAGTAAAAGGTTGAGGATAAGTCCCAGGTTTCTTACTCAGATGATTAGAATGGTGGTGCTGTTTACTAAGCGAAAGCATACATTAAGAGGAGAAGGTTTTTATAGAAAATACAGTTCATTTGGGGCATACTGAATTCGGGATGCCTGTGATGCATTCAGATGGAGCTTTCCACCAAGGCAGATGGATTTGTTGCACAAAAGAGGAAGATAAAGATTAGTAATTTTCCACCAAGAAGGAAGCAATTGATCTGAAAAGTTGGTTTGAAAACAAACAAACAAAACACAAGGGAAAAGAGACAAGTCAAAAACGAAAATTCCATGTTATGGTCAAAGAAAGACAAGACCTGGGACATGAGCTGTGACGTTAGCAATTAGGAGGTTATGGCTGACCTGGTCTAGTGGCCTGAGGTGCCCCCAGTCAGAGTGCAGTGGGTTGAGTAGTCAATGGGGGTAGTGAACTGTTAATAATAACTCTAGCCAGAAGTGTGTATGTGAAGATGCCTAAAAGCATCTATTCATAGAAGAATATAAGGGAGGAGGGACTTTTTACACTCCAATCGGAAAGATCTTGCATACACAGAGGAAAGAGTCTAAAGAAGGAAAGAAGGGAATAAGTGAGAAAAAGGGGAATTTGATAGGAATGCTCTGAAATTGTCTAGGACACGAAGTGTAGCACAGAAAGAGATTCATTTTGGACAAGAGAAAATACTTCTAAGAGAAGAATAAGGAAGGGAAAGAAATGTGTATGGGAAAAGGAAATTGAAAGAATGTGTACCTGATGGCATCACTTTCTCTAAGAAGCTGGAAAAGGTCTCCTGCAGAGAGACAGACTTGTGAACTTGAGAGGAAGGGTGAAAGTTGATGACAGACAGGTGGTGTCAATCCCAGATCTGTATCTTTACCACTACTCTCCCTGGAGAGAAAGTTGACAAAAAAACGAAATGGTCCGGCTGAAGTAGGAGGCCCTCTTCACCCCATGCTGCTCATATGAAAGGTCCAGTCGCACTCCAGCATAGAAGAGGGAGGTGAGAGGATTGATCCAAGATTTGGAATTTGAAAGATGAGAGTTAAGAAGCTCCTGGTGACTCCGGGTTCCTTGGTGGAGGAACCCGAGAAGAGTTGTAACCCTTAAGGCCCTTTTCCAAAGGGCAGCAGGGCTGTTACAGGCTGGCCAATAGGCCTCTCATGTTTTGATTGAATTGGAACTACAGCCAGATTCTTAGGTCCACTTGTGACTGTGAAAAGCATAGCAGTCTCCTAAGTAACAGGGAAGTCCAGGCCTGCCAAATTTCATATGTATTGATGCAAATGATAAGATTTAGGAGTTTTTCATTAAATTTTGTTTGGTTAATTAACTAATGAATTAGAACTTTTTTTTTTTGTAAACAAGGGTGCTGAGAAGAAAATATAAACTGAAATGAGAGGTAAGGTTCGCTATTCGGATATACATTTTTCTCTAATGAAAAAAATAAACCTCCTTCATAGAGAACTAGAATTTTCTCAGGTGCTCTGGTGGTGCAATGATTAAAGTACTCAGCTGCAAACTAAAAGGTTGGAGGTTTGAATCCATCAACTGTACTTTGGGAGAAAGATACGGTAGTTGACTTCTGTAAAGCCTTGGGAACCCTCTGTTCTATACAGTTCTACTCTGTTCTATACAGTTTACGCTGTTCTATACAGTTCTACTCTGTTCTATACAGTTCTACTCTGTTCTATAGGGTCCTTATGTGTTGGAATCCACTTGATGGGAGTGGGTTTAGTTGTCAGGTGAGGGGTAGGGAGCTGGCAATGGGTTATTGAAAAACAAATAGGTTCACAGATATACTGTATTCTACATCTTGCTTTTTTACTTGGAAATGCTTTGTTATGTTATCAGACTAAAACCGTAAATTCTGTATTTTTAAATATCATTGTATCTTGAAAGAAATAATGAAAATACTAAAAATGATGAAAAGTTGGAGTAAATTGTGTTGGAGTTATTTAGGCATCAGTCCATTCATATAGTTTAGAACAAGGGGAACATTCCTGAATGCATTTTAATAAACACTTAGCACCCTCCACTCAAGTACTCCCTCAACACAAGAATACTTTCTTCTATTAAATTGGCATTCTATGATGCTCACCTTCCCGACACAACCGCT